CGTCACCATTTCAGATGACAACTCGCCGTAAGCCCTCACCTGGCTGTATGAGTACAAGTAGAGTGCCTTAATCAATGCACTGTATTTTCTCGGCATTCTCTTCACGGCCAAGCATCACCAAAGTACCTCTCAGTCGATAGAATCGAATTCCGCCTTAAGGTCAAGAAATATAACTATCCTGTAAAATTCATTTGGAAGATCGAAAAAGGCCAAACAAAAAAATAAATTAATTGTGAAACTAGTAATAATAAACATAAATAAGAGAGAATACAAGTCATCTGTGACACTACATAGGATTCTAAATAAACCAGGAATTAGGGTGGTGGCATTCAAACCTACAAACTCACTCAGTTAGGGACAAGCTCTTTAGGTTGAAGGACCCTATCGGTTGACCCAATAAGACTAAATAATAAAATTTACAAAATACCTTGCAATGACTATGAGTTAAGTCAACTACATAGTTCAAACTAGTCGGTCGGGGGTAGTCAGATTATCAGGACATAAGAATTTAGCTAAGGTAAGAATGGTTGGTATTTGTTAGATTAGCATCGGTTGGTGTATCACAACCCTCTGGTTGGTTTCTGAGATTAAGCTCGAATCGTTTTCCGATATGTCCAAGAATCGAAATCAATAGCGAACATGCTGCGATTTCCTTCTTCCTTTGCTTTCCGACAATAATTCACGAATACCGTTTGAACTCGATCGATGCCTATCCTGGGTACTACTCCCCTATTATACCACTACCTAGCATAAACGGGAGATAGAACGCAGATACCTATAATAAAAGACAGCTGCTAGCCAGGCTTTTCACTTTCAATGACTACATTTACATTTAAAAGAGGAACAGTAATTCACCGAAAAACAGACTCTTCACTGAAGACTACCCGTCTTTTTATTAATAATGTTCGGATGGCAATGATTCATGAGTTTAAAAAAAGTATCCTCCTTAGACAAAGGGGCCAAGTCTATCCGTTCCTTGATTATACATCTACTTTCAACTCTGTACCTAGGGGCCTTTTGTTAAGCAAGCTTAGCCTTACACAGACTGAGTCCTGGGCTATCAACTGGCTGCACTCTTACTTCTCCAATAGGATGCAGTACACGGTATATAATGGTGTAGCTTCCTCTCCTTTGCTTACTGAAGCTGTAGTTCTTCAGGGCGCTGTTCTCTCTCCGTTTCGCTTTTCCTTCTTCTTACATGACTTACCTCTCTCAGACGAAATCAACTTCGTCAAATATGCAGATGATCTGACTGTTTCGCTTCCCGTTAAGTCTCAGTCAGACTGTTTCAAATTAAACAGCTTCCTGTCGGACATCAGTCAGTGGTCTAAACTAAGTGGCCTCATGCTGAATCCCTCAAAATGCCAGACTGTTGACTTCTCCTTTAGGCATAAACGAGATCTACAAACACTAGTAAGTACTCATGAAGTCTGTAGCATTGAGGGGACTAAAATTGAAACTAAGTCTAATGCAAAATACCTCGGATTAGTTATATCTTCCGACCTTACTTGGTCATCTCATATCCAAACGATTTCTAAGAAAGTGTTCCGTCTAGCCTACTACATTAAGAAACTCAGACTAACTGGAATCACTCACCCTCTGCTTTTACAATTTGTCAACTCTCGTAACTTACCTATTCAACTACTTTACTGCTCCCCATTAGTCTTTCCTGAGTTATTGAAAAAGGACTATACCATCCTGAGAAGGATGTTGAAGATCGTTAGTAAGACTAGTGGTGTAAAACTCAGTCAGCTCGTCACTACATTAGTAGAACGGCATCTGAAAACATGCAAAAAATGGTCTAAAACCATACTCTCCGACCCCCAAAACCCCCTCTATTCCCAACTCTATCCTTGTATCTCACCAGGTAGAACCAGAAATCAGTACAAAATAATATATGCTCGTGCAGGAACTCAACGATACCATATTTGGCCCGTGTTCTAAGTGACAGAGACAATCTTAAGCGTGAAACCTATGACTTACTTTGTTGTTAATAACATAATTTTAGGCTCTTTTATTTCTCTCTTATTTGTATTCTAAAGTGAACACCTTCTTAAACTTACTTAGCTACTTAAAATTATTATCATTGGTTTACTTTTTTTGTACTTTACTCAATTCCTTCTTTTGTGTAACTACTGGTCCCGACTATATTATCACTATGAGTATTACAAAATTGTCCTGTCATTAACCATCATGTAATATTAGTTTTGTGATTGTTTTTGTTCGGCAATATTAGGTGACAATCTTGGTTGTGAACGCCACTATCACCATCTTAAAAATTTTATATTATGCAGTATTACTCACACTACCACAACAAACACTGAATTAGTGCTGACAATAAAAACCCTGAAATATTTGTATTATGATTGTTTAGTGTCGTTCAGTCAAATTAACTGATCATCTTGGCTATAAACATTCTTAAATATCATTTCATAACTTCTTGTATGATTATAGCTCTTACTGTTCACCACGCTTATAAACATATCATAGCTTCCAAAACCAAACACTGAAATATAATTTATTATTGTTTATCTTCCTTTCTGCTTGGTATTTTTTGCATCTTTTTTGTTATTATGTCTTTTAAATTTATTTTTTGAAATACTCCTTTAAAAATGTTTGATAAACATTAGATGCAATATTGTAGATATGTGTCAAAAGTTCCACACAGTACGACTGCACTGATTAAGGCACTCTACTTGTACTCATGCAGCCAGGTGAGGACTTACGGCGAGTTGTCATCTGAAATGGTGACGACTAGTGGTGTCGGTCAAGGATGCCCATTATCCCCTTTTCTATTCAACTTCATCATAGATGTACTAATGGACTTAACCCTAAGTGACGTCAGCGACTCAGGGATTGATCGACTTCTTACCATCAGGGAATAATCTCGTTGACTTAGAATATGCAGACGATATAGTCCTTCTAGGCGAGAACGCTGACAAAATCCAGCACAGTCTCCTAAACACCTTGAGCTGCAATCTACGATTGGCATGTCTGGCATGCGATTCGCTCCCGCCAAAGGCGAGATGATGTTACAGGACTGGACTACACCGACTTCTAGATTAGTAATAGGAAGTGAAGCCGTAGAGCACGTTGACCGCCTCACTTATTTGGGAAGTACCATCAGCCAACGCCAACGGGTTGATCTCTGACGAAATCTCAGCACGGATACAGAGGGCTAATTTCGGATACGCCAGTTTACGCCGTCTCTGGCTTAGTAAACGTGATATCTGCCTGGCTATCGACCACAGGGCATGTGTACTGCTCATCAGTCTGCCCCGTCCTTCTTTATGCCTCGCTGTGAGACCTGGCCATTGAAAGTGAAAGACATGAAATGGCCAGCAACTGTCTTTGATTATAGGCGCCTGCGTTGCATCTTCCGTTTGAAATGGTATACTAAGATGAACATTGAGTTTAGGCGTCGAGTTCTAGGTAGGGAGGGGAAATCAATTGACGAGGCTATGAAGGAGATACATCGACTGAGATGATTAGGACATGTGTTACGTATGCCTAGTCATCGCCTGCCTCTACTGACGGGCAATGTTAGCTGATATAGGGTCAGGTTGGAAAAAAGCTAGCGGAGGTCAAACAAAAACATGGTTTCATCAGTCAATGAAATCTACAACAGTTAGTCTAAGCCAGCCACGTAGGAAGGTGTAGACTTCCTTAGTGGTTGGAATCCTCGGGACGGTAAAAACCAATGGTTGGAAACAATTGGTGACATGGCTCAAAGTGATCGTTCGCAATGGCTGGCCCAGATGCATCCACTCCCCTTGTGACTTATGATTTCCAATGACACTGTTTTGTTCTTCGTTGTTACTATTCCTTTAACTCATAGCTGTGTTTACTGTCTCTACTGTACATTTCTTCTACTTTCTCTTGGTTTGTGTGGTACATGGAGGGAGTGTGGCGACTTGAACTGGTGCACATTTGTGCAAAGTTCTATGTCGAAAACAGACAGACAGACAGTACCACTAGTACTGTTCCTGGAATAAAAACAAATTATTATTATTAAAAAATATGTATAGCTACATGGAAGGTAGCTCAGTAGTTTATGGAGGCTATTCCGAACTTCTTCTTCTTCTTCTTCTTTTGTAAACACAGTTTCATTCCAAAAAAACCAAATATTATTTATTATTATTCAGTAGTTGCCAAAGAAAATATAAATGACAAAAAAGCTTTTCTAAATTAAATAATGAACAATAACTGAGCAGAAGGAAAAGAAGAAGAATAAAAAAGAATAACAATAAAGAAATCAATTTTACTGTGCAGTTACGCTTTTCTGTACCAACGACACACCGTGCAAAATGCTCTGAATTGCGTATGACATACATACATACATACATACTACTGATATACACACATTCACTTTAAGTAGTATACAAGTAGTAGCTTTCTAAAAAAATGATGTACATGCAAGGATTTTAGGGCAATAAGAATCAAAAATAGATAGATAGACAGACAGGCAGATGGATATAGGTGGTAGGGTAGTAAGTAATGCGAATCTCGTGTCATAAAGAATGATTATGCAATAACTGTATACGATCCAATCTGGGGGTGAAGGGTGTAGTGTGGGGTGGGGTGATTGATCACATCATTGTGTGGCGAGAAGGAGACTTTCAGTGTTTAGACTACCCGTAAGGCAGAGAGTCACAGGATTAGAAGACTTCATCCTTCAATATTCTGATGTATGTATATATATGTAGAGCGAGAGTGCAGAGTGCGATAGTAGAGTAATATGACGTAATATATATGATAAACTGTCAGATATATTAGTAAAAATCGATACGAACTACAAGTGTGGAAACAATTAGGCGTTTGAAGATGGCTGACTTCGCTGAAAAAAGACACAATATTAGTTGCCTTTACACAAGTAACACTATTTGCAAAGAAAACATGTGTAAAAATGTTTCAAAGAAGGAGACTGAAGAAAAGGATGACAGTAAAAGTGATTGAATGCTTGTCTTTTTGTTCTGAATAGGCACACACACACACACACATCAAGTTGTTCCGATATTTACAAATTTCTCCTTTAAACTTTCAAAAATTGCAATCATTATTGCAGAAGCGCTAGTTGTTTTAATCAATCTTGGTGTAAAACCTAATTTTTTCAAGAAATGAAAAGCAAACGAAGAAAAAAGAGAATAAAATTAACTATCTGTGATAAAATAAGTTGATTAAAAAACTGTTTTACTTTTTCTTCGAGTTGGTTCACTGATTGATTGACACTACTTAAAGTCAAGAAGGCATTTAAGCCTTTCATAGAATAGTTGGCGTCGGTGGCACCTGACTCATGGGAAAATACAAAGATTGTTCCAGTGCCTAAATCTACAAGTGGATCCAATGTTAAGTTTAGACCTATTGCTATTACCTCACCTTTTTTGAAAGTTATGGAAAGACTTATTTCACTTAATCTTGAGCTCTCTTTAAAGCCTTTCAATGACCCAAACCAGTTGGCTTATAAACATAGTAGGTGTACCTTAGATGCCGCTGTTGTCCTACATCATAGTATGGTCTCTAGTTTAGATAAAGGAGCTAAATACGTTCCCTGTGCCTTCCTTGATTACACATCTGCATTCGACTCTGTTCCCAGGTCTGTCTTGCTAAGTAAACTGGCTGCAACACAGGCTGAAAGCTGGACAAATAAGTGGTTGCATTCCTATTTTTCTGATAGGAAGCAGTACACCGTCTACAATGGAAAGTCCTCCACTACCTCACTTATTTTAGCTGGTGTTCCTCAAGGTGCTGTTCTTTCTCCCTTTCTGTTTTCCTTTTTCTTACATAACTTACCTCATTCTGATGTAGCCACTTTTGTTAAGTATGCTGATAACCTCTCTGTTTCTATACCTATCAACTATCAGTCACATTTTTCCACATTAAATAACTTTCTATCGGAAATTAGTCAGTGGTCGTCTTCAAACGGTCTTAAGCTAAATCCGTCTAAATGTCAGGTAGTCAATTTCACTTCCAGACGTAAACGTGACCTACAACAACTAGCTAGCTCACATGGCCCCACTGTCATTGACGGCACAGAGGTTGAAAATATATCTAATGTCAAGTACCTTGGGCTGAGTTTTTCCACCGATCTTTCCTGGTCTTCCCACATCTTACAAGTTACTAGAAAGATGTTTCGCCTAACGTTCTACGTAAGAAATTTAGGCAATCTGGCATAAAGCAGTCTTTGATTTCTCAGTTTCTCAATTGTTGTATTCTACCCATCCCCTTTACTGTTCCCCATTAATCTTTCCTGGACTACTTAAGAAAGACTTTGCTTTGCTGAGAAGGGCAGACAATAAAAGCCATTAGTAGGGCAAGTGGGATATCGTTAAACCAACTGGTGAACACTATTGTGGATAGACATATAATGAATGTCATGTAAGAAACTAGCGAATAAAATATTGTCAGACCCCGAGAATCCTCTCTATACGCATCTATCTCCTTGCATTTCATCTGGTAGAACTAGAAGCAGCTATAGGAAGGAGGCTATATGCTAGGACTACCAAATACAAAAACTTCACAATCTGGCACAGCTGTTATGTGATGAGAAATCCGTTAGGTATGACACGATTGACTTACTGCGGCACTCTAACAAATAGTCCCATTAGTTTTGGCTTTCCTTTCCTCGTTACTATTACACTGTTGTTCTCATCTTCTATTACACACAAATTTTATATTTCATATCCTGTGGTGGATTGTTTAAAATGTAAACGCAACGCTGTTCTTTTGTTTATTTTTTTATTTATCTTCTTTTTGGGGTGTTGCTTTTTGATTTTAAAATCTTATAAAATTTATGAGGTAATTAGATGCAATATATTGTAATGCACGCTGGAAATTCTATACCTGCACCACAAATACTGTTTGGAATAAAGCTGTTATTATTATTATTAGAATAGTCACCACTGCTACCAAAACTACAAGCTTCCAGCTTGAAGTAGCCCTATATTCTACTGGAAACGTCGAGGAATAAAAAAAATAGAATAGTTGGTGGTGGTAACTAATGTCGTGCATCTTATCCTTTGTTTGATGCAGATGAAATTCTATCAGTCAAGTTTGCAATATAGCTACCATTATTCTAGGTGGCGTGCCGTTACGTTGGGCATTCTGAATAGGTGTTACTAGACTGCTGGAGAAGATCCACAGTAAGGGTTCGATCAAGGTTTCATGCTTATTGGCATTCATCGCCAACAAGGCGCACCTACAGTCTTGGGGGGATTCACATCCCTGTTGTGATTCATACGCGGGTCATACGTCATCCCAGTTAGATATGCTCTGATGATGGGTGCCAACTAGCACGAAACCTAGGTCCAAGGCTTCCTGTGGCCGATTGCCTTCAACCATCTAATACCATCAAATCAATGTGCACCGTGATCGCGAGCTACCTAGAATGGTGGCCACATTACAACCTGACTGATAGAATTCAGTCTGCACCAATGAAAGGACTAGAAACATCACACTAGTTACTAGTGTTAAATCAAAAAAGATTGGAGGCTTCTTTATCACATGTCTACGCTGTTACTAATATTCACTCACCAAAACAGCTTGTCCGTTATACCTGTTGTCCAACTAACTTATTCATATAAAACTTTGCATATAAAAGCGCTCTGGGAGTTCAGGTTGCCACATTTCAAAATGTACACACAAAAAATAAAGGGAAAGTGGAATAGAACTACATTGGGGGAAATAATCCAGTTGAAATCAATGAACATTTTTGGAATCTATTCAATATATACCACATCTGTGCGCCATTGTAAACGATTTTGACAATTATCATGAAATCATGCCATATTTTCGTCTGATGAATAGCTCTCTAACCCTTTTTTTCAACCTAATTTTCTTATTTCCGCTAACATTTGTATACCTAACAGAAATATCTCACTAATTCACTTTCTATCTTCACATATCATGTTGCTCCACTGAATATGAGTCACTAATGGAGGATAAGCATGACGAAAACCTTCGGCACCTATGTCTCATTGTAACGTGTAGATTGGTAGGAATTACACAAAAATTGAAATCAACATTTTAAATCAATACTTGTATAAGGTAGAAATGTTTATTCCTTAAAATTTGGATTTAATTCACGTTGTGGTCAGGAAATAATCTTATTGGATAACTTTTCAGTCAGTCTTCAACCAATCAGAACAAACTATTCTCAGCTAATCTAACAGCTGACTTTTAATGTAGTTAAAAATGTATAGCAAATATGTTGCCTTTTGCTTAATAAGATGAAAGTCCGTTACCATTTCTTTTATCTTTTGGTGTTTTACAGCATTTATCCTCAGTGCTCACAAAACAGCTTGGTACAAGAAACCTGTTTCTGTTTTAACATCAGTAGAGATGCTGAAAAATATGCGCCAAGTAGTCAGTCATATTAAGGGGGGAAGAAATTTTTCTAAAAAGATGTGAGTAGATTTTTCAATAAAAAAAGGAAAAAATGACAGTTTTTTCTTACCAGAGAACAAGGCAGGAAGACCGTTTCTTCTGTACAAATTAAGTAATGATGCCCATGTTGATGTTGGATAAGAATGACCTATATACACAGAAAGCAAGGGAAAAAAAGAGTAGTAGATATAATGTATCAACAACTTGTGTAAACACTGACAAACAATCCACCGCGTCAGGATTGGTCACGAGCTGGCATCAGTTAGTTAGCGAACCATTATTAGAAAACCACCAGCTGTTTTAATTCCAGTGCTTAGTACTCTTCAACAATACACAGCCACCACCCCCAGGGCCTCTAAAGTCACAAGGCAAGCTCGTAGTGACACAAGCGTCGATGGCATAGTGGTTAGGAATCTCGCCGACCATGCACATGTAACGGGGTTCGATCACCTGCCGACGCACACTTAATATCAATGGTCGGCCTGCAAAATTTCGGCTACCGATATTGCATGCTGAAAATTCCATACTTGTATCGGAAAATACGGTGTGGAATCAAGCTGTAATAAAAGAAAAATTCAGCCACTGGGACCCGATTGAATGGGCACTGTATGAATTCCCACTTCTGCCAATTGGTGATATCTATTTATTTAGTGAGAAGTCATAACTAGCAAGGTCCACGAAGTCAAGCAAGAGGATAGATATTCAGTCACTTATGACATTGGCTGGAGGTTGTGCAGAAGTTAGTTCCATGCGCCGGCCGCTGGATCGAGTCCCAGTGGCTGAATAGTCACTACGACTTCGTCTAGTAACCGGAAGGCCTTGGATTCGAAACTCCAGGGCGGGGGATACGTACTTCTGAACAGACCTAAGCACTAGAACAAAAGAGCTGTTCAGTATTCCCCAGTGGTTCTCTAAGTGATGTCAGCCCGTGACCAGTCACAAAATGAAAAATCTACCTAGAAGTGTAGAAAAACTGGAAAATTATGTCTAAGTGTGTTGAGTTTATAGAATATTCGATTGAAATCATCGCAGATTTCATCATGAACTAATATTAATTAGAGAATTATTGAAAACCAAGGAGAATTAGACAGTTGAAACTTTTCACAGGAGAATGTACTCATTACAACCTCATGAAGGATCAAAATCAGGACTTCAAAAGATTACCCAGCAGGTGAGCTCATTAAGGCTATTCAGTCACACTGAGCAGAAATGATCCAATGATTCAATACCCCATTAATTTATAACTGTTTGCCAAATTATGTTGCTTGTTCATGAGGAAATCTATCTTTACATCAATTCTAACCACTGCTCCCAATAATGACCTGGTATACGCCAGGCATAGGTAGACTTCGATAATACTTTCGAAATGCTCTTCTGTAGCTTCGCGCTCATACCTATTGCCAGGCATGTTTTATTCACCGTCTTCACGCTTCATGAAGAGGGGTTACTCACAAAAGTGAAGGAGTGAATGAGGACGCCACCTGATCCCAAACCTATGGATGTATATGGACTCAAGAATCCTAACAAACCGAATGGAGTACGAACCTGGCTTGGTCGTTGAAAATGATGGGAACACAGCTCCTGACACTGCTCTCACTCATTGGTTTGTGGATCAGACTTCAAGTCAAAGACTAGAAGGGATGGGCCTTTTGAAGTCAATCACCACCTTCTTCGGTGGTGGCGGTGGCACTAATTAGTTTGTATATATTTATGTAAACGAGTTAATACCGCATTGATCGCAATTACAGTAGTCAGAATCGTTCTATACCAGTTGAGATTAATAGACAATGATTGTAGCATTGTCACGTTTTAGCCCGGATTTTCTTAATCATCACTTGCCTTCTTCGTGATATTGTGCTTTTGAGACAGGTAAAAAAAAGAACTGATTGAATTAATTGGATAACTCATTTCAGTGGAAAACTTCATCAAGTGAACTTTTTGTCTTCTGTGCTAAGCAATGGAACAATAGTAGTTGACACCACCTAGTCTTTTCATATCTGCCAAAAAACGCAAGCAACGTCAGTCTGCCTTTTTATACCTTACAACCATGGAGGGGGAGAGGAAAAAATCTGACCGACCGACTGACTGACTGACTGAGTTTCAATCTAGAACTACTTTGCACAAAAGTGCAGCAATTCAAGTCCACACCGCAAGTACCACACAAAGGTAGGGGGAAAAGAGATTTAAAAGGAGGGAATCCATCTGCACCATTGAGAAGGATTTTGAGCCTTTGTCACTAACTGTCTCCAACTCTCTGGTGGTTAGCCTCTCGGTGAGTAAACCTCACTCAGGCAATCTATCCCAGCCGATGTGGCTTCCAGAAACCAATTGACAAAGACTTCATGGAATAATTCCAGATTTTAGTTTTATTTTATTATTATTATGATTGTTCCCTTGGTTCTCAAGCGGAACATAGAGTTTCAACAACACATCTCCGCTGTGTTTTATTTCCTGCTGTCCTCTCTAGCTGAGCCCACGATTGCCCATAATCCCTCACCTACTCCCCACACACACCCCACGATCTCCTCCACAACACCCTCGGACCAACGACTCACTCGTCGTTTCCCATTTGTGTTTCACTCGACCAACGACCTGCATTACGTGCGATGTCATTCGATGGTCCCTTTAGCGTATTCTCAGTCCAACTCCTTTTCCCCCAACATAAACTGTTGAACGATCGGCTATTGGTTGGTTTGTTCCCATAGCTTCTTGTTGCCAATTCCTTCTAGCTGGCCACTTGATCTTCAATATGGAGCCAGTGAAAGGGGACACTTGTTGATAAAAGTCTGTAACTTGTTGGAAATGCTTTTTGTAATGCGCCAGGTTTCCGAATTATTTCGAAGAAGTGACTGACTACTTAACATTGATGTTGGGGATCTGAAACTTGTTTCTTTATGCTAACTGTGTGCAGAAGATCTCCAAACTGATTTCAAATTGATGAAGGTGTATCTTGCCTTTCTCTGATTCTCACTGTGGTTTGACTATAACCTAACTCTCTTTCCTAATTCAACTCTATTCAAGTCAGTTAACATTTCTCGTCAAGGAAGACGGTGGTGTCTCGGTATACTACTACTACTACTATGAACCACTTGACCGGAAACATCTCATTCAATGTAGCTTCATAACCTCGCATCGATTGACTACCCTTCCTTGCCTACTTAGTGCTTTATGTCTAATCTCAAATAATTCTCATCAATATTATACCACTTAACACGGGATACTTGAATACCAACATATGTGATTGAAGACGGCGAAGTGATAAACAATTTCTATCACTTCTCTTCCCTATCTTTAAACTGACAGTTGGTTCACATATCAGTCCTGCAGCATCATATGACACTATTAGACAGAAGCGAATCGCAAGTGTCAAACATTCGAGGATTTTTCTTTGTTCAGAGTGTATTCAGAAGACTTTAACATTTAGAACACACTACCCACTACACTTAATAGGTTGTTAGTGAGATTCCAATTGCCTGGAACATATTTCTCTTATGTACCAAGAGATATAAGGTGCATGAGCTGATAATATTGCAACAACAGAATAGAAGGGCCAGGCAACAGATCGTTTATTCAGAAAATCAACAGATATTTTTAGATTTTTATGCAGATTATTGTTAGCGGAGAAGCAATTTCTTCTGATTGGTTGTTTTCTTGCTGAAGATTATTCTGTACTCCTTGTGACTGTTTCTCAGAAAGTTAAGCCATATATCTGCGAATCGTATTTGTACACATGATGTGATTGGTTGATGAGTTCCTCGGGGTTTTTGTTTTTCTCATATGATCCCGATTCAAGACGTAACATTGACGTCAATTGCTGTCTACAATTTTTGGGTTGCAGCCAGCTTCTCACCACAATAGCACCTACCTAAACTATCTACGCTGAATTAGGTGTAGCGAAAGTCAAGTCCGGTGGGTGTCTTTCAACTAATAGCTAAATGAACACTTCAATATGCAGAATCCTGCATCTCACCGGTGGACAAGATGTAAGGCTAGCTAACATATTATGTATTTATATGCCAACCAATAAGATTTAACCTTTCTGATTGATTCTGTCATTTATATTATTTCTTTTATTCAATATAAAAGACGGTATGAATGAAATAAATACAAAATGGATTATTGATAAAAAATAGTATGCATTTGTGCGTCGGTGGCACAGAGATGCTCAGGATGCTCGCCGATCACGAAAGTAGTCCGGGGTTCGATCACCAGCTAACAGACACACAGTCCTTTACCTTGCTAAGCTAGTAATAGAGGACTGGCAAAGAGGGAAGGTTGGAGCGTCAGGCTAGCAACCCAATCCTGTAAAAAAGTAAACACCACTGCTATAGAAACTTCAAGCCTCCAGCTTGAAGTAGCCCTATGTTCCACTGGGAAGGTAAACGAATAAAAATATATGCGTTTATGTGACAATTAAACTAACAACTTACTACATGCTAGTGAATGATTACCAAAATCAACTTGTCTATGCGTTTTAATCACATCGAAAGGATGCGTTAATACTCCAGAAATCTATAAAATTCAGCAAAGTAAAGGCAAAATCAAAAGTACACAGTAAGAATTATTAATTTTTATGTTGTTTATATATAAGAATAGAACTTGGGCACTGTGGTGGTAGAGTAATAAAAACTCCATTATGGATTAGATTTATCATTTTGATAAACTGTCACACACCACTGTGGACTGTTATACAGCAATATTAACTAATGATCACGTTTCGAACACAATTTCTCATTGCCCCACTCATAATCATATCAAGGCACTCACTTACACAACTCACTTCTTTCCTTTATTTATATGCATGAGTGTAAACTGATGACTAGACATTTGAGTAACATCAATATTAAATATACATTCAGAAATAATAATATTAGTGTTATCAATAAAATACAATCAGATGGGAAATAAGACGAGTGTTTTTATAGTCAAAATAAATAAATAACTTGTTGGAATGTTGTAATATATGTGAATTGAAATAGAATTTTAAGATTATTTATTAACCTCCTCTGATTCGACTAACTGGTGGTAATAATATCTTCCATATCTCTGGGATTTGCATTGAATTATTTCTGTTGCATGTGTTTTGTTGGGTATTTAGACTTTAATTCACCTCATCCGTCATTATTTGTGTAGACAGGCTTAGTTAAGTGTCTAACAAGCCGAGCAATAGCATTAAGTAGTACAACAAATAAATCCCAAACGACGAAATAAAACAGATAGAAGAAGAAGCGTTGATGTTAAATAATTCCCCTATAAAATTCATTAGGAAGATCAGAAAAGGTCAGAAGCAAAATAAAAATAATTGTGAAACTAGTAGTAGTAACATAAATAAGAGAGAATATAATTCATCTACTGTTATACCATATAAGGAGGGGACGTCTGAGACCCTACGTAGGATTCTTTATAAAGCAGGCAGGAATTAGGTTGGCATTCAAACTTACAAACTCACTTAGTTAGGGAAAGCTCTGTAGGCCGAAAGACCCGGTGGACCCAATTAAACAAAATAATATAATTTACAGAATATCTTGCAATGACTGTAAGTTAAGTCACTTATATAGGTCAAACTAGTAGGTTAGGGGTAGTCAGATTATCGGAACATAAGAATTGGGCTATGGTAGGAATGGTTGACCCTGAAAAGATATGTGATTTAGAAAAATTCTCAGCGATCGCACTGCATGCATTAATACACAACCACACAATAGGGTGGGTGAGAGAGGGTTAAAATTCTAAGAAGTTAATATAGTTAGGTGGAGATTGAGAGATTGATTACTGAATCCTGCCTGGTTCACCGAGTCTACACGCAACACAACACATGCGATAGGAATAACTCATCATTCATACTGGAAATATGGAAAATTCAACTTCCAATTGTCTGTCTGGATTCAACATAGAACTTGGCACCGAAGTGCAGAAGTTCGAGTTGCCACGTTCCAATTGGCACACAAGGTAGACAAGAAGATGAGTGGAGAGAATCAATAGAGTTTGACAAGTATAAGAGTGAAACAGAATGGGTAATGGTAGAAAGGAATATGAAAGATTACAGAGACTGAATACATCTGCGCTGGCCATTGACAACGATTTTGAGCCATGTCACCTACTGTCTCCAGCCATTGATTCCTAGAGTCCCGAGGGCCCCAACCCGGGAGTCTGCATCTCCCTACCTGACTACTCAGTTTAACTGTCAAGGATTTCATGGATTGATGCCATGTTTTTGTTTGCCCACCACTGGCTCTTTTCCAACCTTCACCTATGTCAGCTAGCAAAGCCCGTCGGGGGAGGCGGTGGTTAGGCATGCGCACCACGTGACCTAGCCATCTCAATCTATGTAACTTTATAGCCTCGTCGATTGATTTTCCCTCCTTGCCCAACACTCTACGCCTAACGTCAACATTACTTATCTTGTGAAACCACCTAACGTGAGACAGAGATCGCAGACATCTATGATCGAAAGCAGTCAACCTTTTCATGTCTTCAACGCGTATTGGCCATGTTTCAGAGCCATAGACAAGGACGGAGCGAACTGATGAGCAGTACACACGTCCCTTGGTTGATAACCGGATGTCACTTCCAATTAAATCAAACGATGAAAAATAATGGAATTATATGAACGAAGTCAGAAAATTGTGTGAGTACTAACTTAATATGATTATGAGCAGTGATAAATTGTACTCGAAAGGTGGCCAGCGGTAAATATTTCTGTATAACACTGAGACTTTATCAAAATAAAATTTTACCCACAATGGAATATAGGTAGTTTATACGGAATAACTCAATTATGGATAAGATTTTATTTTGATAAATCATACAGTGTTGTAAAGTAATATTCGTGTCACTCACCGATTCACTTTCAACATGGAACTTAGCTCAGAACTGTGATAGTTCAAGTTGCCACACCCCATGTAGCACGCAAAGGATCAGACAAAAGAAATTCTAAAGAAGGACTCAAGTGTTGGTTTGCAGAGATTTGATTTGATTGGTTACAGGTTTTCATCATGAGCTGACATTGGTTAGCGAACCACTGAAAAACTACCAGGGAGTACTGGACAGCTATTTCGTCCTGGTTTGTGACCCTTCAGCAGTGAACATCCGCCATAGGGGCTCGGACCCAGAACCTTCCGGTTACAAGGCGAGCTCGTGTTTCATTGGGTCAGGTCCCAATGGCCTAATGGTCTAGGAGCTCGCCTTGTAATCAGGAGGTCCTGGGTTCAAACCCAGGCGGGCGCATGCTGTTGAAGAGTCAGTTCATGATGAAATCCTGTAATCTAAATAAGTATAATGAACAGAAATGTACGCGAGAAAGTAAAGTAAAAAGGAAAAAACGTGACCGTTTAATGGATTCGGGAGATCGCAAAGAGTGATTGCATCTGCAACAATCAGAACGATTTTGAACCATATCACCATGAGTCTCATGTCAGGCGGTAATCCACATCCCCATATGTGATAAGATTAAACCAAATGTCATAAATTTCATGGATTGGTGACATATTTCGATATGACCACTCCAAACACATTTCTGACCTAATCCTATGTCAGTCAATACCGCAAGACATCGCAATCTATGCAGCTTTGCAACTTCATTGATTGTCTTCCGCTGCCTAACGAAAACAGAACACGTAGTTCAGCGAAGAGGCTCTTTACGGCGAACTCACCTTAGATAACTGTTCGGTCAAATTTATATACAATTTGTTTTTCATGAAAGTGGGTAGTAACAAAAGTGATGAGTTGTCACAAGCTTAACTGTTAGTATTAAACAATGCATTAAAAGAGTTGAATAATTGTATTACTTAGTCAGATGAATAATTCAGCAAGTGAATTGTGATCACGATACACGTAGAAACGACGGAAAATGTCTGTCTGTCTGTTTTCGACATAGAACCTTGCACCGATGTGCGGTAGTTCAAGTCACCACACTCCATGTACCACACAAAGTAAGAGAAAAAGAAGAAGAAGAGGATATCCATAACAGAGGCATTTAGTTGAGGTGTGAAACAAAGGAATAGTAATAACGAAGAACAAAACAGTTTCATTGGAAATCATAAGTCACAAGGGGAGTGGATGCATCTGCGCCAGTCATTAAGAACGATCACTTTGAGCCATGTCACCAATTGTTTCCAACCATTGGTTTTTACCGTCCCGAGGATCTCAACCACTCAGGAAGTCTACACCTTCCTACGTGGCTGGCTTAGACTAACTGTTGTAGATTTCATTGACTGATGAAACCATGTTTTTGTTTGACCTCCGCTAGCTTTTTTCCAGCCTGACCCTATATCCGCTAACACTGCTCGTCGAATAAAGCCGATGAGTAGGCATACGTAACACATGTCCTAACCATCTCAGTCTTTTTAACTTCACAACTTCGTCGATTAATCTCCCCTGTTTACCTAGAACTCGACGCCTAACCTCAATATTGCTCACCTTATTATACCACTTTACACGGGGGATAGAACGCAGGCACCTATGAACAAAGACAGCTAATCTTTTCATGTCTTCCACTCTCAATGGCCAGGTCTTATTCACAGGCATTAAAGGAGGACGGAGCGGACTGATGAGCAGTACACACGCCCTTTGGTCGATGGCCAGCCGGATATCACGTCTACGCCAGAGACGGCGTAAACTGGCATATGCGAAACGAGCCCCCTGTATCTCTGCTGAAATTCCGTCAGAGATCAACCCGTTGGCACTGGCTGATGGTACTTCCCAAATAAGTGAAGTGGTCAACGTGCTCTACCACTTCACTACTTATTTCTAATCTAGAAGTCAGTGTGGTCAAGTCCTGTAACATCATCTTGCATTTGGCTGGAGCGAATCGCATGCCAGACATACCAAACATTCGTAGATTGCAGCTCAAGGAGTTCAGAAGACTCTGATGGATTTTGTCAGCGTCCTCGCCTAGAAGGATTATATCGTCTGCATATTCTAAGTCAACGAGATTATTCCCTGATGGTAAGAAGTCGATCAATCCTGAGTCGCTGACGTCACTTAGGGTTAAGTCCATTAGTACAGTATCTATGATGAAGTTGAATAGAAAAGGGGATAATGGGCATCCTTGACCGACACCACTAGTCGTCACCAGTTAGGATGACAACTCGCCGTAAGCCCTCATCTGGCTGTATGAGTACAAGTAGAGTGCCTTAATCAGTGCAGTGTATTTTCTCGGCATTCCTTTGCAGTCAAGCATCTCCAGAGAACCTCCCGGTCGACAGAATCGAATTCCGCCTTTAAGTCAAGAAATATAATGACTGTTGGACGCCTGTAGGAATTCCCATGTTCTAGAATCTGTCGGAGGGTGAAGATATGATCAATACACCCTCTTCCTGGTCTAAAGCCTGTCTGGCTCGGAAAATGTAGGATTATATAGGAGTTCCGAAGACATACAGGAGTTATATAAGAAGTTAGGTTAAAAGACAAACAGACAAACAAAAACCCAGTCAGTAGAAATCAGTAGGGCTGTTAACATGATAGTAAAATTGGTTGAATAATTTTCGTTTGTATGCATAGCTCCGGTTTTTTTATCTGTGAATCATTGAAGTTTCAGCAATACAAAGGAGAAGAAGATATATTTCTTATGCCAGTTTGTTCTTCACTTTGTAGATAACTCTGAAGCAGGTGTTTGTTGAGATTGAATGACAAATGTTGACGTGGTGTTCGGTTAATTCACTCCTCATAGAGCCACTACTGCTTTTTTGCAGCTATGAGAGATAGTGTTCCTGAAACCTTTTAGACAGGATACCTGTGTGAAAGCCCAATATACCTGGCTAGTCCCACAGCGACAGGTGAACTGATATATGCACATTGGAGTGGTCAGATGTAACATCTTGTCTATAAGGCTTCTGCAGATTAACGGACGATTTGGAGAACACTGCTCTTAGCGTCGGTGAGAAGAATGTTCTTTTCAAAGATGCTGAAATTCATCTCTTGAGGATATCGAAGTCTAATTCTCCCTTGAAATTCAGATTTATGTAAAAAGTATCTTTTTTTTAAACGAGTGATGTTTCGTTCCTCTGAACCTTTGGTTTGATATTCTTGTTGATGAATCTTGGCAGGCATCCATTCTGGATCAAGGTTTCTTTCAGAAAATTCAGTTCTGCTTCCAGGGCGTCAGGAGTGTACATGCACCTGATCCAAATGTCAAGAGATTTAATCAGATTTCATTTCCCCTCAGTGGGTGCCCAACTGTAGAAATCTGTTAGTTAATCGTTCCAAGTGGGTCTTCTATGGACTGACCTTCTTAAGGTTCTGTCGAGTCGTCTTATCAGTTACATAACAGGAAAGGGGTTTTTGGATTCGTTTTCTATTTCTGGAGTGAATTTTATTGCCAAATGGGAGTTGTTAAATACTTGCAGAAATTGATTTGGGATCATAATTATTATTGTAAATGGTGTTAATGTTATCTACGTATCTTGTATACAGTTGTAAATTGTCAATGGTAGACTTTAATGTACCATTCTCGAAGTCATCCATGAAACAGTCTGTTAGTAGTGGACCCAAGACAGACCCGATTACAATACTATCATTTTGCTTGTAGATGGTGTCATTGGAAATGAATTGTATATTGAGAGTAACTTCCTTTGCTTACTCAACTCTTAACGCCTCAGGCTCAAACATGACTCATCAATATGATATCCACTTACAGCTGATTCGCTTATTTAGCTAACGTATTACACACACACACACATCAAGTTTTGAAAACAAAGAATATAGAATCGATAAATGCATAAACTTACCAAGCCAGCCATTGCTCCAAAACTTAATGCATAAGTGAATTGTACTGCATCAATAGTATTTGGTAATGTATTGTGTGGTAGTAAATTAAGCCTTGTTTGATCATTGATATGATGCGATTTCATATAGTCATAGGTTAACCAAAATATCATAGAATACGGGACATCACGTAGAAGAGTTGGCCCGGCGCCTAACCACAGACTCTTTATACCATCCTAATTGAATAAACAAGTGAAAACATTAGCTAGAAAGTATGTGTCAGGAATACATATATTAAAGAGACGCAGGAGGCAGGCTTTGTCAAATTAAATTACCGCTTGTCAATTTGAATAAAGCAAGACAGACGAAGTTACAGAGATAATTCGTCACCAGCTATGTCCATCAAGTCAAGTATGAGAAGAGTTACTCCCCGATGACATTGAGTCGCAGAAGCTGTAAATCATCGGTTATTGCATCATGTCTCAATGGCTGAATCGTCTGCCAGCTCACCTTGTAACGACAGAAGACAAGGGTCAGGAAACAGGTCGTTTGTTGAGAAAATCAACAAAGATTTATCGATTCTGGTTGCTTGTTTTCTCGCTGAACGTTAATTTGTCATCTCTTTGTGGCCGTTTCTTTGAAGGTCATACCATATATCTGCGAATCGTATCCGCCCACTCTAAATGTGCTGTTGTTGATTGTCAATTTAGTCTTTGTTCTTGTTTTTTCTACTCATGACCAAGATTTGGGACGTAAAAATTGACGTAAATTGCTGTCTACCAATTTTGGCTAGCAGACAGCTCTCACCACAATATTGTAATCGGGAGATTCTGCTATCAAAATCGGCGAGTGTGGACTTCTGAAGTGTCCAACGCCAGGACAAAACAGAATTCTCCTACTCCTCAGTTTCCCAATAATTCTGTAACTCAGGTCATGTTCTGGTCAAACATTCAACTAATCAAATCCTGAAAACCAACAAGTGAAACAAAAACTCAGTCGTGCAGAGACCGTTGACACTTCAAAAGCATAGCAACAACAAGCATGTTTATATTTTCAGCAGGAGGTCACACCTAATTCTTGCCCAGGCTGCATTCCCCCCCCCATACAGAAATTCACTTATATCGATCAAGGAAACTAGAACGAATGGCTAAATATATTTGCGTGGTATTATCTATTCTAGAAAACGTGACTTGCTACGGCAGTAGACTGTCCTTAGACATCCAGTAGAAGGACTTGTGCTGAGTTCGAGTATCAGTAAAGAACATTATCACTCAGTCAGGACGCAGATATATCCAGCTGACAAGTTCCACACAGGAGGTTATGCATTCTTTGATTAGTCACCGTTCACCAAATATCCTTCACTAGTATAGACATATTCTGTCACACATCTTTATTTTCAATATGTCTTCCGAAAAAGTCTTCAGCTGTCCTATATTACTTCATACAATTAGTTCCCCTAAGATATTGGAGTAACCCAATAAGAACCATTTTTCTGGTATATGATAAACTGACTGATAGAATTCAGTCTGCACCAAAGAAAGGACTAGACACGTCACACTAGTTACTAGTGTTCAATTAAAGTACCTACTACAGGAGGTCAATTGTGAGTCCGGATTGCTGAGTGGTAACGTATCTGACTGCAGCACTGGGTGACGCAGGTTCGAATCTCAGAAGTAACATAAGTTCCTTTAGGGCTGCAGATAAGCCTTGCTGATGAGTGCCAACTAGCACGATACCTAGGTCCAAGGCTTCCTGCCGATTGCCTCCAACTATCTAATATATGATGAACTCACTTGAATAACATGTCAAAAATGCAGACAAGGTATGAACTATACGGGAAGTTATAATAGTCATTTATAATCAAAATAAAAACAGTCTCTATTGTACAGAGAATGTTCTGCAATTTAAAGGTAATTCACACACTACCGGAGATGCGACTACCCAGCCACTGACTAATCGAAACCCTAATCAATAAATTATCTTCCCATCTATCCAATCATTCCTAAACTGCGAGGAAAATTGATTCTATTCTCAAGTCAGTTACAGAATTCAATCATCATGTAGATGCTGGAATCACTCTTGATTAACGGTCTGTAAGACTTGAAGATCTGTTCGAAGTAGAATTGGTCAAATTAGACAGCTCAGAAAAAGTTCAAGTTCTCCTTCGTAAACCTGAATCTAACGAAAAAGTCCCCGTGATATTGATTTTCATGAAACCATACTAATTCTTCGTAAAATATTTCATGGGAACATGCATCATTATTCAATATCCGCTATAAATGTATGATATCTGTCTAAAGGAAAATTTGATGATTTCCTTACTTTTGCTGATAAACTTAACCGTCAACCATGTGAGCATTTCCACAGTTGGGATCACTTATCCAGGATCAGTTCAGATGCATAATTTCTACTTGTGGTTTACGTTCTCCTGATGATTCAGAAATCAGAACACGCATCTCACTTTGTATTGAGCAGAATCCAACAAGGACTATTCAGGAAGTGACATCTGAGTGTCAGAGAGGTGCACTTAGAGGACGAAGCGAAAATGATTGCCAATAATAATCCTCCAACATGTAACCATAACTATCCTCTGATCGTAATTTTCCCACAAAGCGTGGGTTTGTATACGAAAGAAACACGTCCAATCCCTGTCCTTGCCATGGCCATCATAAACAGGTAATTTTCTTAGTAATAACCATCCCATCGCCTTTCTTACCTAAACTTCCTGTTTATTCTTGTTATTTTAAGTTTTTCTTAATCCCTGTTTACACTGCCATATTTTCATACCCGAACTTCGTGTTTATTTTGTCATTTTACTATTTCTACATATTTAATCCCTGATTGCAGAAACAGTTATTCATCACATTAGTTTTTTCATCCAAACATCCTGTCTATTTTGTTATTTCTACATTTCTAACCCGTAATTGCACAATGTCAATCTTCTTAGCTTTCATGATGCTACTTTGTTTGTTTTATCCATCCCCCTGTTTATTATGGCAGTCTAATTCCCAATTTTAATTTTTATTAATTTGACCCTTGACCGGATATTATTCTGGAACTTTCCCATCCATTTGATATAAATACACGAGTGTACGGCCTAGATGATGACTTCGTCGAAAAGAAAATTTTCTTCGCTGCAACTGTCTTCTTATTTACAATTATCTTTCACGTATCGCCGAATAGTGTTGTAACAACAGACAGTTAACCTTGCACCTCTTTGTGGCTGTTTCTTGAATGTCAGATCATTTATATGTTAACTGCATCCGCCTACGCAAAGCCTTTGGTTCTCATTTTTCTCATGACCAATATTGGGGACATAAATATTGACGTAAATTACTGTCCACCAGTTTTGACAAAAGCCAGCTCTCACTACAGTGTTGAAAACCAACTGTACACGCTTCAAGAACTCTTAGAAAAATCTTAACTGAGGTATGGTCACACCAAGAACGAAGGTCTTGGATGAGTATCCACAGTCAAAATATTTCACAAAAAGCTTTACTCTACTAACTGATCACAAACCTCTGCTGTCAATTTCCAGCCCTCAGCAAAGAATTCCAGTTCACACAGCAAATCGCCTTCATCAATGGACAATTAGATATGTTTGCAATGGTTCAGCTGATGAATAGGGACGCCGAGCTGTTGACAGACACACGCGCTGATCATGAATATCGCTTGTCTACGCTAACAAAGTATGCAATAGCTACCTAACTTCCCAGCCTGCTACTTTAGCGATAGCACACAGAGGGGTGAGCCGGAAACTAAATTTACAAAAGCAGACTATATATATATATATATATATATATATATATATGGCAAAATTAAACTATCCTGGCCTATAACCACAGTGACCATGAACAACCAATCAGAATTCAGTTGCAGGAAAGTCTCACAATCGTGGAAAAATACACCAAAAAAATATTTGCAAACTTGATATTACACTGTATAGTTTTAGTTTATGTGTTTTAAGAATGCCTCTCAGTTAATACACAGATGATCTATAGAGAAATCGTACCATGTGCGATAGACCCATTCATCCAGGTGACTGTAAGTCATAGTACTTTGAGATCGATTAGTATTTCTGACACTATTCTCCAACCTACTCCTAACTTTAACCCTAAGCCTAACGTTAATCAACCGAACAGTATAGATTTGCAGAAAAAGTGCCTTGTAAATAAGCAAGAATACTACATCTATCCTCCTCAAGTCCCAAAAGACAGGCGTGAATTGATTTGGAATGACATTTCATAGCATTCCCTGTATCTGATCGGCTCTTGAAGGTCAACTCCCGAAAGACCTTGACTTTGCAATTTTAACTTCCCCATATATATATAAAAATATATATATGATGCTTAGGAAGGCTTCGTGTGCTTTTGGAAGTGTGTGGGCGGTTTTTGCTTCCCGGCTGCCCACACCGTGGAAGTCGATTGATTCTTCGGGTACCTGAAACAGAAAGAGGGTTAGTGTTGCGTGACCACAGAGTCCAGGGGACAACTGCTTGAGGCCGGTCACACACAGCCTGTATGAACTAGTTTCTTGGTTTGGTTCCGTATTAGTAAACTTACCGCAAGTTACGCACTACCGTAGGGTAAGTCGGAATATAAGATTTTTGGGGTCGACTTTTTCTAACCCCCTCTTTACAGATTGGAAATAGTACAGCTGGCATGCTGGTCGTCTGAGGGAAAAACGTCACTGCTGTTAAATCCCTGTTCCCCAGCAGTACGACTTTGCCCTCAGATCCCCAGGATAGTGTAAAATAAAATTTCTTACACTATTCTGGTAAGTGCTTTTACTCTAATCGTTATTCTAACAACCCTCCTGGCATGGTAGGACCTGCAGGAACAATAGTTCCAGCCAGTGTAGCTTGCTGAGTCATTTCGATGTGCAAGCCCGACCACCACGTCAAGGTAGTAGCTATCGGTCGGTTGTAGCGACTTGAACTGCTGCACATTGGTGCAAAGTTCTATGTCGAAAACGGATAGACAGATATATATATATATATATATATATATATATATATATATATATATATATATATATATGTAATCGCAGAATACAAAGAGAAACACCATTGAAAAAGAGTAAAATAAGCTTAAAAATACAAAATATATATGTACCTGTTTCACTGTTGTAGCAAGCAATGTTGTTATTTCTCGGTAGGGTATTTTCTTTGCCTGCATTTTTGTCCGTAACAATTCAATTGGTGAGATAGCCATAACTGCAAATACTCGTGATACACCACCTACTAATGGTGGGATAAAATGCTTAGCAGAGGCGTAATTCTGTTCAGTTATATTTGGCATTGATTTATGCTTGGTTTTTGAAGTATATCCAACTTGATGTTTTAACCAATCATTAACAGTAAAGTAGATAACAGTTTGAGGAAGAGTCATTACACTAAAGTACAGAGGATGTGTTAGTAAGACATCAACTTACAGTGTTGGTGAAAGTCCACTCCATAGTGATAGAACACCTTCATTACGAATAATTTTCATGAGTGTAACCTTTAGAGAAGATAAGCATCACAAAAAAAGGAAAAAAACAACAGAAAAAGCTTCACCACTAGAATAGATGATAACCGCTTTGAATAATAGTTACTGATATTAAATGCCATACAACTTAAAAAAAACCATGACAGCGTGATTTTACAAGGGTTTCTTAATGAATTCTCACCCATGTCACCTGTGATTACTGCCGTAGACACCATAGCCGAGGGGTAGAGTGTGCATCTTTTTATTTGTGATGCAATCTGATCCAGTGATTGATAGTATCCCAGAACACCTCTCTGAAACTATTGTTAGCCCGTTGTGCACCACAGGACGGAAACACCTAACCAAGGACCCCTGAGCACTGTAGACAGCCTACCCTTTCTTGTGGACACAAAATCCCGATTGTCAATCTAATTCCCACTTGTATGAGCACCGCTTATGACTGGCCATCATGCCAAATAGCCTTCCAGCTATCCGTGATGGGGTTACCAAGCCACCCACACTAGTCGTGAATCACAAGTTAGAAATGGTCCCAGCCCCCTCACCCAAACTCCCAGTGATCTTCCGGTAGTGCTTAGCTTGGACTCAGTATACTGAAATCTCCCAAGTGAATGCCACGAGGAGGTGGCTGTAGCGTGTAAATCGACTCTCGGTTCCATCATTACCCGTGCCCAGGTGGTTTTCTTCACACTGATACCCAGAGCGTCGGACGGAATATTGTCACTGAGGACTAGGTAGCCGAAAGGATACTTTTTATACAGAAACGTCAAAAAGGAAGTTCTATTCTAAAAACACCTGATCGACCTTTGTCATTCAATTAACCCTTACCATGGTTTATTTTAAGATCATCTATCGAATCCAGGCACAGCTGGATAATAAATTCGTAGAGGAGTCCGTTCATTAAACATTGTGCTCTTAAAATATGACAATATGTACTATCTGTAGAACCCTGTACAGGTATATTTGTAAGACGAACACTCACAAATTGAAAAACTAATGAAATTTAAAACAAAATTAAAAGTGCCACATCACATCCAAAACTTCTTAGGTTTATCCCCCTAAATAACTCAGGAATGTTACAGAAAGATACTATTAGCACAAGACATATAAGGGGACAATATACTTGATTTTAATTAGATCTTTTTCGGGCCTTAGTCTAATTTACATATTTTTGTATAAGAGAAAATTTAACCAATGACGGTGAGTTTGTAGATCAAATTATTATCACGTGTTAAATGTTTTGAATGTCAGTAATAACGGTGATTATAATGATAACGAAATATTGATAATAAGGTTTATGCAGGTGGCGACAAGAATAACGAAGGTAGTATATATGTAGACAATTCAATAAGTAAATTAGGTTAATTCTCAAAAGTTACGTAATACTTAGGGTGAAGTGGAACGATAATCAGAGTTTAAATAAATATCATAAAAATACGAGGGAGATGGAAAATAAGGATGGAAGGGCTTTGAATAGAATTCACCTAGGCCAAGGGAGAGACAAAGGTAGAACAAACCTCTTTTGTATGCAAAGACTAGGATTGTTCTCTCAGATTCCTATAACTTCTGCTATGTGTAAAAGGCAGGTTCGAATTCCCTTCGAAAGGTTCGACGGAATGCGATAGGTAACTTTGGAGGCATTGCTTCTGTCCACACTTGGTGACCAATACCGACCAAATGAGACAAAATAGAACTTCTTGTAGATTTCACTTGGCCTTTTCCGAATCATGAAGGAAGATACTATTAGATAGAACATTCTCCTGTGCATGTCTTTAGTGAATGTACAGTGGTGATCGCGTTTCGACCGGTGAACGTACGTTACTACTGAGTTGTGCTTGTCATTGAAGAAATTATTTTGACTAACAAACCATGGTCTAGGAATACTTAGGCAGTTTGTAGGCCACGAATAATACAGTACGTTGGATCATAATCACATTAACATGGTTATTATAGGTAATAATTTATGTTCAGAACGTCACCAGAAGATAAGAAAATGTTCCCGCTAACCTACTGACTGGTTTCAACACAGAACTTTGCACCGATGTGCAGCAGTTCGAATGGCCACACTCCATGCAGCACACAAAGCAAGGATAACCTACTACATTAGGAAGTTAAGACAATCAAATAGGTATCACTTAACCTCTATTTTCACAATCTGTTAACTCTTGCATCTTACCTATTGTTCTTGATAACTCCTTCCTAGTCTTTCCTGGACCATTCGAAAAGGACTATGTCATATTGTGAATGGTATTAAAGGCTGTCAGTAGGGCAAGTGGGTTGCCATTTAGTCAGATCGTTACTACTGTAGTCGACAGGCATTTAAAAATTCATGTGAGAGATGTTTTGAACCCATATTGTCCGACTCTCAACACACTCTTTCTATTCTCAACTCTCCCCGCTTTGCATCTCATCAGTTAGGAATAGAAGTCAGTATAAAAGATTATATGCTCGTACAATCAAGTACATAAACTCAACGATAACATATTTGGTGCGCGTCCTATGAGATAGAAACAATGTTAAGCGCAAAACCTACGAATTACTATGCTACTAGTAAAACAATTGCCTATCTCATTCTCTCCTATTTGCAATTTATGGTGACACTATTTAAATTAACTTATAATTTTACCTATCAATATTATTTTACACTTTTGTACAATTTTGACTTAACTGTTACTGAAAATACCAATACAGCTGCGATTATTAATCCTGTTATGTCATTTTTTCTTATATTTGCTGTTGTCAAGCAAATAAAGATATATATATATATTTTTTTTTTATTTACAGCTTGATTCCACACTGTATTTTTGGTACAAGTATGGAATTTTCAGCATGGATATCGGTAGCCCAAATTTTGCAGGCCGACCATAGATATCAGGTGTGCGCCGGCGTGGGCTCGAACCCCGGACCATGTGCATGGTCGGCGAGAGTCCTAACCACTGTGCCACCGATGTAATATTGTACGAAATGCTGAAAATTCCACACTGTATCATAAGTACTAATCTTTTAGAATAAAGCAAACTATTACAATAAACCGTACAGTAACACTAAGTTAAATCGAGTAATTGTTTTTACGGTTCTTTCTCCCGCTAGTTTTCTCTTGTTGTAGTCTGAGTACATATTTTTCCGCTACTTTCGTATCTTTCCATGTGTGCAGATGCACCTGTCTGCAAAGTTCTACAGTGTAAAGCCAATCGGTCAGGATGATTTACCTACCCTCATATAAATTGAGAAATATATATATATATATCAAAGTAGTCATGGCCGTCTTTACGTATCCCTTTTGAAATTATATCTATTATTTCGAAAATAACCGATGGCGTAGACATCAGAACTTTGGTAGTTAGAAAAACTCAATACACTGACAACAGTATGATAAGTAAGTCAACGTACCAGAACTCTTCAATGCAACCAATATCTAAGCACCAAGTTATTACTTTTGCTATTAGTCACTAATTTCCAGCTGTGAACTAATTTCTCGACAAATATAATCCTTCACATTGTTTAGTCATCCGGTCTCCATTAATACAGATACCGGATTTCCTAGTGAATCCAATCTAGTAGCTACTTTGTACCAACCTCTAAACGAACTACACTGCCTCCATTAACAGGGAATAAACCAGACAAACTTATCTCAGCGTTTTTTACTAGGTTTGATTCTACTTTGGAACCCTCTATTTTTCCCGTTTAGCACATCAGATCGGCAGAATTATCAGCAGAAATCATGAAGTGATCACAAAGACCATTTTATAACATGGCCTCAATAAATAATTCCGAGGCGATTCCGGGGCAACTCAATGAAAAAGAAACTTTGGGGAAATGCGTCATTCCCCAGCCCAAAAAAGACCCAAAATCACCTCAAAATCTTTTATTTGGGAATAAGTGAATAAGCATGGCCTGGCAAAATTTCCCTACTGATCATATATCCGAGGTTTTATTCAAAATTGGCGATAACCACACTGACTTCACTTTTTAAAAATGTTTAATGTGTTGTTAAATTTAACAGTTAACTGTCACCTTGTCCTAAGACTGAGACATCGTGAGCAGTACAAGACATTTCAAAGGACCAGACTTACTGTAGCGCTTGGGGTACGCCGGTAGAATGTGACAAAGGATGGATTTTCAGAATGCAGGACACATGTGGAACAACAGTGAGATTCATTGGAGGTAAACCAATTCCATCTGCCAGAACATTTCATAGCATTTTTTGACCACGAAACAGCGCACGTGTTAGGACTAAGTGAGCATGTGCAAAGCCTTTCTATTAGCCCATTGCAATAAGTAAGACATTTGCTATCCGAATACACTCGGTGGGACTATTAACAACTTTTAAACTAGATTATGCATGTTACCTGCATCCGCACTTTCAAGACGTCTAGGGGTGTCATAACAAAAGCTGTCATTATCCCACCAACCGAAGAAGCAGCGATCCGGTGGAAAAGTGAGACATCGCGCTTCTTTCTTTCACCATTTTTAGCCATCTTAGCCCTTTTTCCTCACTACACTAGACTCATCGTCAACCCGCCGCAAACCATACTGTGCGCTATTAGTCAAGGACATAGAAGAGATTCAGAGTTTTGATCGAGGATAGGACCCAATGCTGCATTAAATCTCACTAATTCTAGAATAATTCCAAAATTCTATAGTGATTTAATTCTTCACTTTTTCTGAAATGGATTCTTTAATGCTACAGACTAGAACTCAGTGCTGGTTTTCAGCATGACTGAAACTAATTCAGCACCGTGTTCTTTTTCTAGTTATTATCAGGAGTAGATCAGAACCTACTGGGATTTCTTATCAGCGTTGTTCCAGGACTCAGGACATATTAAGCGCGGGCTAGCGTTTCTTCAGAACGAAAAGACTTAATTCAGCACCCAGATCATTTTTAAAGCATGACCGGTGTCAATGTAGTTAGAGATTAAACGATCAATTCATGGTTGTTTGCTCAAACCCAACTCTATATTTTGGCTGGAGTCATCGATTCTGCAGTCATCGTTTCATCGCTCGCTGTTCGTTAGAAGAAGGGGGAAAACTATCAGAAGCATTATCGTGATTTATTGCCAAGACAACTATTCTTAGACTTTGTGTACAACGACATAATGGTTGGCTTTGTACTGGTGAAAGAATATAATAATAATGTATATTCTCATATAAACATACAAATTTACATGAAAATGCATGCCATTTTTACAGTCACGATCAAGTATGATATAATTTTTTTTTTGATTTACAGCTTGATTCCACACTGTATTTTTGGTACAAGTATGGAATTTTCAGCATGGATATCGGTAGCCCAAATTTTGCAGGCCGACCATAGATATCAGGTGTGCGCCGGCGTGGGCTCGAACCCCGGACCATGTGCATGGTCGGCGAGAGTCCTAACCACTATGCCACCGACGCATATCAAATCGTTGATTGTCTACAAGTTAATAATGTTTCAACAGTTAAATATCTGATATATATATAAATACACTCATTGTCTGAACTAGGATGTATAGTTATTGAATTGTACAATTGTCCTCCAGGTTGAGCGGGAATATCGACTTCGTTTCGTTTTCATCCCGTGGTTGTAGGCATACGATAACCAACCAGTATTTAGGTAAGTACAACGTTTACAAGGGATTGAAAGCTGTTTAATAATTAAAGGTGCTAAGGTGAATCAATAAAGTGTAATGACATGCGTAAGTCCAAGTATCACTAATCAATGCATTAATAAAAGAAACTTCCTAGGCTGACAACGTTCATTTGCAATGTATAATGCTTCCTGAACAGTTTGCATTATCATGATGTCCACTTTTGGTTTTAATACAATTTCTCCTTATGCCGGTTTTTTTATATTTTATGCCTTTTTGTGCATTTGGTGCACAACCGTACCCTCCAGAGAATAGGAATAGAATAAGTCGAATCAAATTCATAAAGAGCTATAAAATGTTAGGTTTAATGGGATATAGTGAGGATCAAGTGAAAACGTTATTAGAAAATAAATGAGATAAGACATTGTGAAGTGGTTTTTAAAGATCTGACGATGGATGGCAAGTTAATTTATAAGATGCCCCATAAATCTGTGAAGAGCCCACATGGTTGCATCTCAACAATAGGCTGAGCGAATGGCATATGTTTAAAGGTAGAAGAATGATCTGTCTAGGCGTTCATTATTATCTTTTCCAAGATAAAGATCTAAGCCCTCATAAAAATCAGAAATATCTCGAGCCTTCAAATTGTATATTGCTGTTCCTGCAGAATGGGGTGATTCACCTTAGTGACCACCACCATATCTACTGACCAGCTAGCGCCACCGTCCCTCCATCCGTCAATAGGATTCTTGAGTCACAAGTTTGTGTTCCAGATTTTTGCGTTGGTTAATGAGCATAGTTCCTGAAAGTCTTCCAAGGACAGTGTGGAATCCAGAGTAGTCAGACCTGGACAATGACAGTTTCTGATAATTCCCCTGAAATAATTCCTCTTGTTTGATATCAATTCAGCTTTCCTCGCGTCTCACCGTTTTCTTATGACAGGTGTTATCCGGAACTTTTCTGGAATTTTTGGTCAAGTTCAGTGATGCTTAGGTCAAAGAAGGGACAGAGCGTCTTGGAAGCAAGCAGGAAAGTAGGTAATGCTGAGTTGAATGTCAATTGTAATGAGATGTATGATGCTCAGGATGATGAGTATGTTGTTCATGTTTCGCCGTCTAGGATGATAGGAATTTTAAACTGCCTAAATATGAACCTCGGTGTTTCGACGGAAACCCAGCTGACTATCCACAGTTTGTGAAAGAGTTTGAAATCATGTTGAGTAGTTTGTTATTAAATGATGAAATGAAGTTCATGTATTCGATGAGGTACTGCACTGGAGGTGCTGCAAGAGCTATACAGTGCTGTAAGTTTATGAAGCCAAACAAAGGATACTCTGAGGCAATGAGCATACTGCGTCAAGGATTCGGAAGACCTTCGATGGTTGTAAGGAACGTATTCGAGGCTGTTAAGGGTAATGGTAGTCAATTACGCGATGACTCCAAGGCACTCTCTGAGTTTTTGGATAATCTGATGACTTACAAGAGTACGTTCATTTCGATGAATTGCATGAGTGATCTGAACTGAAGTTCCGTCCTAGAGGTAATAGCGAGACACCTACCTAACCGACTGTAAAGGAAGTGGGTGAAGATAAGCTCTCGTATAGAGGATGAAGGTATTGAGCCAAAGTTTGATGATATTCTGAAACTGATAAAAGATAGTGTCAATCAAGCTACGAGCAAGTTTGCCAGTATGTTGCATCCCACCCCTAGAATAGAGAAGTCTGAGAGCAAAACGCAATCATTTATGACGAGAGGGTCTCAGAGAATCGGATATCAAGAAAACAGTATGATGTGCAGTAATCCATATAAACTTGGTGATTGTAACAGCTTTCGTCTGACATCCCCAACAGGTAGGTTACAAGTTGCGAGACAAACAAGGTTGTGTTTTACACGTTTGCAAGAAGTGCATACTGTAGTAATTTATTGTACTTGGAATATTAGTATTTCGAGATGACTGAATTACAAGAATCCAACCAAAACACAGAGAGGGCAGAATTCAGGAATTTGTATTTAGCGGAATTCCTATGCAATTCATATAAGAAACATATCAACAGTCAACAGTAAGTATTTAAAAAATACAGAGATAGAAATTGTCAATCACCACAATACAAAGGCGAACTGGGAAGTAGTGAGCAAGTTAAGTGATAAGCTAAATGTGAAATAAAGGTCTGACTGTGAATCGTGTGACGATAATGGTGCAATGGAGAAGACTGTAGTTGCAACTGGTAATCCATTGTTGAATGGAGTGTCACAGACGACACCACAGTTTGTGCAGGAGAAGAGAGTTACAGTTTCAGACTCCAGTTCTGACTCCACAAGTCTTCAAGGTATTACTAGTCAGAGTAAAGGTATAAAACGTCTAAGGATTTGTGAGGAAGAACCCAAATTGTCTACTGTTATTGAAGAGTTTGAAAATGATGAAGTCGACCAGATAGACAACGGTTAAGTGAACATTTGTGATAATAATCATGATAGTGCACTTTTGTCTTTGGTTGATCATGATGAGATAAGGGGAATGCCCACTGCTACTGAGTTGAACAAAGGTTCTGTGCAGCTTGAACGTGAAGTAGACTTAAAGGCAGATGCGATGGCAGAAGGTTTGGATACTCGTGAGACCCTCAGTGCGAATGATCACCGTGCAGCCCACCTATCGACAGATGTTAAGGCTGAACTGAGGCAGTGGTGGTAATCTTGCGGTTAGACAACCATCTAAAGGCCGAACAACAACAGTTTCTGATGCACCGCTAAGTTCGCCAACTTGTATTAGTCAGTCGTCGTTGGTATTGTCATCTACAATGACAGAGACGTCCATGAACTCAGGTGTCTTGTGATATGACCATGATAGTATCGGTGCATTTTAAAAGACAAAAGATATTCCTCAGTTTGGTGAGGATAAGCGAAGTGTGTACGAGAGTGTAATTGTTAAACTGACTAACACGAATAAAGGTTTTTCAAGTTTCAAGTTGCCATTTGAATGTCATTATCTTTGGTGTAAATTACTCTATGCCAACGCTTGGTTGGTCAGATATTTCGTGTGTTTGTTAGTCATCTATATTCTACGATACAATGACATGGGCGTGTCACCATTCAGAGTTGAGGATATAGATGATAGAAGGAGGTCAGCAAATGAACTCTGCGACGATTTTCCAACCTAGGGCGTCAACCTGAGAAGGGTTTTTTTTTGCAACTATATATATATATATTTCTTCCTGTTTATGCAGGAACATACCAATTGTACAGGCATGGATAAGTTATTATATAAATTACACACAATTTAATGTATAATGAATTTACAGTTTGGTTGTTCTTTCTGACATTAGAGTCAGTAGGAACAGTCTGCTATAAAGTCTGTTTGTGTAGCACATAAAGAGATATAGAAATATTGTCTTCGCATTAACAAAAAACCCAGACATCAGATGAATGTAATACAGATATCTGGGAAAAATAAAGCTTGAAGTCAATTCTCTTATATAACTTTGTTGTGAGCAGCACCCATGGCTTAAAGATTATTGATGTATTATGTTGAGATCAGTGATATATTTATTCCATTTTTTCAGCACTCTTATCGTAGTTTCATAACAGGAAAGAAATTTGATCGTGGATACGAAAACTAAATAAGGTCATGTTGGGTTGTTTTACTGCATCAAATGGTGCCGAGGTCGATTCCAGAATCCTCCATTTGCTCCATTTGTGTCTGCATGGCGGACTGTATTCGTAAGTTGAGTAAAACGTTGAAAACTGTTTGAAAACCAGTTGCTTCTTCATTTCAGATCATGAATACTCATTTACAGCATGTTCGCCAGCGTCTTCAAATGGTAGAATTGGATCGTTCATGGAATTTGAGTGGTTATGAGATAGACGGTTTGGAATTAATCCTCATTTCAGTTTAGATGCAGGGTTGTTCGACCT